GTTCAGCCCTTGGCTGTATATAGCCGCCACAATTATTTTAATATCTCCAGCGATCAGCAATGCAGCTGAATAGTTTGGGATGATTTCGCAGTTAAGGATTTATATGTCCTTCATCTTCCAATGTTTCGTAATTAACAGGGCCATATCTCCTCCCCCTCCATCTTTTCTTCTTTCTCTCAAAAGTTAATATGACAGAGATAAACCTTAAGAGTCGACAAAAAGTTAAGAGGCAGACTTAGGAGCAAAAGACTGACCCCAACTCACTCAGCTATGAAATTACAGGAAGATTAATTACATCCACATTTTCATGGACATGGGAAGGCTGTTTGAGACACAAGGAGGGGGAACCAGGAGACACAGGTAGCAGCAAGAGGCATAACTGAGCCACAGGTATATCAAGAGTACTTTTCAGTCTCAAAATGGTGAATGAAACAAACTAGACAAAGAGGTGGTGGAAGCAAATTTCATACAGTTTCAAGAGTAGCTACGATCGGGTCCTGGAAGCCAGCAATCAGAAAACCCGTTTAACAGTGGTTAAAAGACTGAGTCAGGAACTATGAATCAACCCCTGCAAACAAATAGGTAAATACAACTAGGTAAGTACACACATACCCAGTGCGTGTGTTATTAAAATAAACTAAAATATTACATATAAATACATCTTAAGGGAAGCAGATAAGCAAAGTAGCCCCAACCTACCAAGAGAAGAGAGGGCTTGCCCTAACGGGTGAGGTTGCGGGTGGATGACATCCACCCAACTTGTGGGTCACTCTGGCCAACAGCCAAGTAGTGTAACGACGTCACACGAGCCACCGGCCTCCTATCCCAATAACACCATTCTGACTGTTACCGTTATGCTCCTTAACCTTACAACAGGTTATGAGAAGCTTAGTCAGTAACGAGGTAAGGAACATGCAAGATACTGAAGGGAAGATATAGTCTTGGAAATATGAGTTTAATCCCAAATTTTCAGCTATTAATTCTTTCTAGAGAGTTTAAAGCTTTTGTTTATACTGTTCTTCTGAACTTTCCAAAATCTAAACAACAAATAATGTTTTCTTAAATAATTCGAAATTTGGGATTTAGTTGTCTATTCATAATTTTAAAAATTATGACTTGTGTAGGTGATCCCATGAACTTTCTGAGCGTCTCCCACGTATACACCAACTTGAAGAGCGAAGTCTTAGTTTTTTAAGTCGCCCTAATATATTCTCTTATGATAGCGCCATCATTTCTGTTATGTTTAGCAAACAGACTGGTCTATAATTTCACTAATCTGCCCTCTATCTATGCCAACTCTGAACACTGCAATTAAAATCCTCTGAAAACAGTGTGAGACAGGAACAACATGGCCCATTTCCAATTTTAATATAAGAAAGCAAACTATGGAATATTTTCCTCACCGCTGATTGAGACGAATGCCGGTGAGCTCAGCACTCGCGGGGACATCTACATATATCCTAATAAAGTGCAGACGCAGAGAATTTGGATAAGAATCACGACCTCAGTACGACTGAAGTGATCACTTGACTTTTAATCATTAATCTCTGGGTTACAGTCACTGAGAAACAATCTTGGAAGTTCTCGTTATTGTTAATATCTTTAATGCCACTCATTGAAGCTGCCAAACATATTTCAGATTCCTTAACCAAACACTCTTTAAGCAGCATCGTCTATAAAGAGTTCACCTGAGAGACTGATTCACCATTTTGATTTACCGCTAAGAATTTTTATACAATATACTCCATTGATTAAAAAATCATTCAAGCTTCTCCATCTACACCTCCAGTACTTCGGTACCACATATCCCAAAGTAGTTGGGCCACTTGCCTTAATTCCTCCTCTTCCTCTCCTTTCCATCCTTTTCCAGTTATTTCCATCCTTCCTTATCCTTCTTCCTTCCCATCTCACGACAGCTCTCGTCGTCTTAATCCTTAAATCCTCCATTGATTAAGACATTTTATGAGCCAAATATCGAATTAATTTATTACAACTTTTCAGAGAAATGCAAGAAATACCGCAGGGGCAAAGTAGGGTACCAAGTTAACCTAGGTAGAATTAACGATATTTAACCAGTTGTTTAGACCATATCAGTTGAGAGCTTAGATACAACTTGTAAGGTATTCTGTTATCCATTGTTCCTCGTGTATTTTCTCTCACACAGACGTATAAAACACAGACACACATACTGGTATTTCCTTTTGTTCCACTCGAGGTGTTGCCAGGGCAAGGTAGCCTAATCGGGAGACACATGAGCTCCAATTTCCTGGAAGTTGTGTCCAATTCTTCTTCGGTCCTGGTTTTCGTTGTTTGTTCTCCTCAGGTGAACTTGAACCCTCGAATATTCCATTTTAACGTCTCTAATTAAAAAACTTTTTATGCAAAATTCGACATTAAATACAATACTGTCTAGAAGTTGTGTAGAACGTTATCTTGGATGCCCATCCTTAGAAATCTCTGAGAATGGACATCCATGGAGTACATTCCAGTCTCAGAAAACATTCTCACTGGATCACAAAATAGCCACAACAATATCAGGAAAGTATAGGACATGAATAGCAAGGGTTTAAATCCTCCTATACACTTATGATCTTACGATAATCACCAAATTAATTAGATTTTGTATAAAATAATTGCTACGCTAAGGTTAACCCACTAGCACACCCAAACGAAAACGAACATGAATCGGGCAACATAAAAATGAAAGAGACGTCCAGATCAAAACACAGTGTTAAGGTTGCAGAAAAGAATATTCGACCATATTTATCTACAAAAATTATATTATAAGTTCCGTAATTTTATGTCATCATATGATAAGTACAGCGACCACAAGTTAGTGCAGTATAAGTTCAGCGACCACAAGTTAGTGCAGTATAAGTTTAGCGACCACAAGTTAATACAGTATATGATAAGTACAGCGACCACAAGTTAGTACAGTATACGATAAGTACAACGACCACATAATTTAACATATTATACAGATAGCGGCCATATAAGTTAACATATGATAACCTCAACGACTACTTAACATGATAGGCACAACGACAACTTAAGTTAACATATGATAAGAACAACGACCACTTAAATTAACATAAGTACAGCAATCACATAAGTTACAATATATACAGAACTCATACCGTGTTGGCGTATTTATCAAAAGCTTGACATATATGAAGTTCATGCAGTTAATGCGGCCTGGCAGCTCTCCCCAGACAAGTTTACGAACCAAGCTGAATTTTACTGGATGTAAGAAAGGTAGACTGACGAAAAAGGGGATAAATAACTTTAAAGACCATTCAATGGACATTCAGCATTCCATACCATAACAAAAGCAGCACCTCAGCACACACCTAATTACAACCATACAGTTTTAAAATCCATAAAAACAAAACAATTTACACTAATATTCTTGTCAACTATAAAACAATATTATTACGAAAAGTTAAAGAACAGCGCCTTCGTTAAAAAAAAAAATACCACGCAAAAAAAAAAAAAAAAAAAAAAAAAAATCCTCTGAAATGTTCCCAGAGGTCCAGAGACGTACCTCGAGATTATATATATATATATAAAAACATGATAACTGCTTCACGACAACAGCTGCAGGCAGACTGTTAAAATTTACGGCACAGTCAGGGCGCATCTTTATACCATTCGTGATACGCTTCCAGATTTAAACGTTGCCTGAGTTTGCCCCACACTGCACTGCCAGAAGTGCCACAGCCATTTTTTTTAATTAATTTATTTATGTTTAATATACGTGATTAATTTTTTTATAGTCTACTCTACCCTGACCTAACCTAAAAAAATAAAAAAAAATAATTTTAATGCAGGGTACGTTCAGAAACTCGCGTTGGAAATCGAATAAGAGAAACAATGTAAAATGAAGACAGGTTGCGCAGAAAAGTGATGGAGCACCAGCAAGTAGGTGACCATTCCTGAGGTGGGCATGTCCAATCCTCTGTCTACAAAGAATAACCTCATAGTGAAGGTTCTTGTGGAACTAGGATGGCCACACACGCACACACACACACACACACACACACACACACACACACACACACACACACACACACACACACACAACCACACACACACACAACCACACTACGTACACGACGATGGAAAGAGAATAGTGAGGAACAACACAAGAAAAAGACTTTCTTACAGACAATGTCTCTGTTAGCATGAGCTTTATCCAGACTTTTGATGTGGCAGAGTTTCTCTCCAGTGTAATCATGGCTGCAATAAGGGCTTGTTCCTTGGGTGGTGTTCCTAGCCAATTACATTATCTCAGTTAAACAGTTAATGAAACACTAAGTGCCCAAAAAATATTAACAATACATATCAAAATAATGACAGAATTTCAAATATTTACCATTCACGAAAACATGTCTGATCAAACAAAAGATATTCTTAGCACATGTAGTCAAAAGCAAGAATTTTTTTTTCCTATTCAACATTTCTACCCAATTTTTGTCAGTATAAAGGTCAGAAGAGCAATAATTTTAGTTTTAAACCTTAAAAAAGGGGAGCGTTACATAAACTCATTATATATAAACCTCAACTCATATATAAACCTAATATACAAAATTATCAACAATACACATTTGAATTACATGAAGGCTCCTAGAGGTTACTCATCCCATTCACCCAATGACTATCTTCACTTTGCGACCACAAATCTCACATTCATACAAAAGACAAAAGACAATTCTAAAAATAATAATAAATAAACACATGCACAAGTAATTTTAAAACATTACATACAGTAAATAAAGCCGTAAATAATATAGTTAATAAAATATGTAATACTATTATAAATAAAACTCTAAATAATTTTATATATAAAACTGTAAATAATTTTACAAACAAAACTGTAAATAATGCCATAAGACTGTAAATATTTAAAATAAATGTATAAATTTAAGTGTAAATAATAATGTTGTGTCTTTGGTTCCCTGGTTAAGCATGTCAACTAACCTGTTCTGAACTCTTATCAGCTGTCACTAACCACAGTGAACCAGCGTGTGAATATGGTGGCGCATGGTATGGCGAGGGACAGGCCGTACCCACGGAGGAACCCTGCTTAATTTGCTCTTGTATGGGCGCCTCCCTCGTGTGCCATCTAAGGGTGTGCCCAGCAGTACCCAACACTCTGCCCGAGGGCTGCTACAAGCTCAAGAAGGCGGGGCAGTGCTGTCATGAGGTGGTCTGTGGTGAGGGTCCTCTTCCTTATCCTCTTCTTGTGAGGGGTACTTGCAACAGGTGTAAATATGCATGTGAATGTGGTATGGTGGTAATGGTATGTATGTATATATATATATATATATATATATATATATATATATATATATATATATATATATATATATATATATATATATATATATATATGTATGTATGTATGTATATATGTATGTATGTAACAGGAAAGAATCATTTCTTCTTGCAAATACATTTATTACCAACGCTTCTGTGAAACAGTTACGATCATCAAAACCTGCTAAAAAGAAATCATAGTTTTTGTACCACAAGGTAAGAAAAAATGTGAATAATTACAATACCAGAAATAAATTATAAAAGACTACAAGAAACTATAAAAGTACCAAATGGATGTGATATTTCCACTGAGAGATTGCACATTCAAGGTAGCACATTCAAGGTAGCACATTCAAAGTAGCACATTCAAAGTAGAACATCCATTTAGTATGTCACTAGTTTTTTAGTCTTTTATACTTTATTTCAGTATTATAATTGTTCACAATTTTATCTTGCCTTCTTGTATGAGAACTTTAATTCCTTTACCACAGATCCTGGTGATGATTGTTCACCGAGGCGTTGATAATAAATGTATTTGGAGAAAAACGAGTCTTTCCCGTTACCTCCATTTACTGTGTATTTATATATATATATATATATATATATATATATATATATATATATATATATATATATATATATATATATATATATATATATATATATATATAAAGTTAATACACACTTAAAATGATGGTTCAGGTAGAACTCAAACCATCGCGACACGTAAGGAATTATTGCATGCATTATAAGCTTACTATTTAAGTTATCTTTTGCTTAATTTTTATATTATTGGATATATTTTAAAAATATACTCGTGAGTAAACATTTATAAATACCTGTAATACATTTCTTTATAATGTATGTTAAAGGAGATGGTGAAACTTATAGGTCTCTAAGGCATGGCTACAAGAACATTTGATATAAAATCCTGTGTTCTGTCGAGGTCAAAACAAAGAACATCGCAGTAGGCAAATATGCTTAATAAACCATGTGAGGAAGTTATTGTTTAGCAAACTATTTTCACTTATGTATCTAAATTTCTTGACTTTCCAAACAATTAGATTCAAAAGCACTCACTACTCTGCATCTTGTTCCTTTCGCCAGTTCCTTTATTTTATTACATCCACTGCTTGCAAATATCCTTACTAATTCCCATTTGTCTAATTTGACTTCTTTGTTCTGAGTTCTTCTTATTAATATTCATTGTTCTTATTTCAATCACCTCTCATTTTTCGCCTTTGAAAAGCCTTACTTTAATGCTCTTAGTCTGATTTCATATAAGATAGATATTTAAAATTATGGATTAAATTTTTTTGTATGTTTTCAAAATGAAACAATACTGCAAGTGAGGTTTCACAAGAGTAAAGTTGTAGGGAAGTATTAGGGTTTTTATTATTAACCTTCTAGATATTAAACTAATTACCCTACCTTCCTTGCTGCGTACATTAATACGTTGCTGTTAGGAATTTTCTGACTGTTCTAATCAAAATTCCTAGATCCCTATCGAAATTTGATTTGTCATTATCTACATTATTAAGTTGATATATAGAGCCGTTTACCTTATCCAAGCTTAAGAATTTAGAGTTCATTTGTCTAACTGAACTAGTGATTGATGTAATACACAAATAACCCGCATGTAGAAGACAGAACCTTATGACAGTATTGTGCCTCTGTAGTCTGACTGATGCTAAAGTAAATGGATGGTGGTAGTTTGTCTTAGTATTTTAAGAATTAGTAATACATAAACGACTCTTCATTCTAAGTGGAAAAAATGTACGGTTCATTTATTGACTTCCTTATCCACTATACTCTCAAATATCTTAGCTTTTCTTATTTTCATCTTTATGTTATTTGTTAATTTGTATTTTTTAAACAAATACAGGAAGTCTTTACTTATCGTCGTTGATAGGTCCTTGGAAACAGCGAGTTTAAGAGAAACGACGTATAACGAAACCAATTTTACCATAGCTAATTGACAGAAACAAGAGTTAAGTTCCCATGTCAAGGAAGAGCTGAGAGGGAGGGCAGTAGTGCTGCAGACGCCATGACTAGGGAGTATGCCGCTTGGGAGGGCGCTATGAAGTCGTATATTTACTCTATTATTGGCATTTTTATTATTTTAAGTATCACACTTTTTTTAGAATTATATAAGAAACACACTACATATCATAAAAAAACAAATACAGACAGCCATACGGGAGGAAAGTGACATAAGCGAACATGGAGAGTTACACCGATGCATGTCCTCCATCCAGATATTTTAAAGTGTTTCCCTATTTTCCATTCCTGGCCGGGAATTGATTTTTTTCTCATCAGCGTTATAACGAAACGGCGTTGAACGAAACAACATTAAGTGAGGACTTCCTGTAGGTGATGTGGGTCAGATATGACAGCTCAAAGAACAACGGAGACCTCAACACAGTAGCCAGTAGTTAGTAAATAGTTATACTTATCACAAGAAGGTCACACATTGTTTAAAGCTTCCGGGGTGAGAATGGGTCAGGTGGGGCACCAATACTAATGTTAGGGTAGATGCCGAGACACTGGCAGGCGGAGATACACATGAAGGTCGTACGGTGGGGAAGGGGTGAAGAGGGTGCCGTGGGAGGTTCCTGAGTATCGCAGGTCAAGGGTGTTGAAGATCCTGCATGCTCATGGCCCCTACCTGATGAAGATGCTTGCTGATGAAGGCTCTCGGCAGCGTAAGTTAGCATAGATAGTTAAAGTGGTTACAAGTGAAGGTTCTGGGCGATGAAGTTTGTCCTGAATGATGAGCCTAGGTTATGGTGGACCTGAGTGGTGGGAACCGCAAGTGATACAAACTGTCACAGGTGACAACAGAGAGTGATAACACCTGCTAGTGATGAGACCCGCAAGTGATGAGGCCCGCGAGTGATGAAAGCGGCGAGTGATGAGACCCGCGAATTATGGTGGGAATGGTGTGGCGTAACACAACATGAAACACACCACTCACACCATCATAGTGGTCATCACTTACCATTACCACCATTTCCAGTTTAATACTCTAAACACCGATCCGTGAATGTGAAATGGCTCTCCTGAAGCACTTATAGTGTGAACAAATGCAATACAACAATTAGTGCCCTCCACTTTGTAATAGGATATAAAAGTACCATATACAAAGATAGAGAATTAAGAAATATATTTATCAAGAAAGAAAAACTTAGAGGAACGTGCAACACCTTGGCACTAACACTCAGTAATTTAAGAACGTACCAATTATGTGTAATTTTGATGCGTACCCAGAGACTGACATCTTCAACATACAAATGTGGGAAAACAAGACCTGGGAACGTTTGCCCTGGCATTTCTGGCGAAGATAACGGCACACAGACACAAGCTGCGAGAAAATGAAAACCCCCCTTTGACTGGCTTCCTTCTTGCTTCCATAATCAAAAGAAAAATCACGCGTCACTTCATACCCTTGTTGCTTGGCAACTTTAGTAACAATGGGAGTTTCGTTTACTGTTCTGAAGGATTATCTTCGATATGCAAAAACTAAGTAACTCAGGCGTGAAATAACTAAGAGTTTTCACATCTTTAAATAATTAAAAAGTGCTGTACGTTACTCTATGGAAATCAGTCATATCATCTATGCTTATCCTGTATGTGATATGAAGCCTAAGTAGGTACCAAAGGAGCTACTGGTCACCATAGGTGCTGCAGGCAGCCGTAAGAATTACAGGCCACAATGGGATCTTAGTAACCACACATCACCTATATAGGGCTTACAGACTAATGTTGCGACTACAGGAAACCATAATGATTTAAATCTACCATAGGGACTACAGGCAACGATGAAGACAGGCTAACGTGGAGACTACAAGCCACTTTAGGGACTACCAGTTACCAGTTAAAGCCAAAGAAAGGAATCAGCGTAGCATCCGAGAGAGTTTACAGACAAAAGTAGGACTCAGTGGAAAGGAGTAAACTAGGAGTAACGGTAGAGAATACTGGAGTTAAACTGGGAGCAAACGTATAGGATACTGGAGTTAGATAGGGAGTAACGGTATGAGATACTGGAGTTTGGCTTGGGAGTAACGGTATAAGATACTGAGGTTAGGCTGGGAGTAACGGTATAAGATACTGGAGTTAGGATGGGATTAACGGTATAAGATACTGGAGTTAGGATGGGAGTAACGGTATAAGATAATGGAGTTAGGATGGGAGTAACGGTATAAGATACTGGAGTTAGGATGGGAGTAACAGTATAAGATACTAGATTTAGGATGGGAGTAACGGTATAACATACTGGAGTTAGGATGGGAGTAACAGTATAACATACTGGAGTTAGGATGGGAGTAACGGTATAACATACTGGAGTTAGGATGGGAGTAACGGTATAAGATACTGAGGTTAGACTGGGAATAATGGTTTAAGATACTGGAATTAGACTGGGCTAATAGTAACGGTATAAGATACTGGGGTTAAATAGAGGGTAAGGGATTGAGATGTTAGGTTATATTTTGATTATTCTAAAGTATTATATTTAATTGAAGTACTAAACCAAATGGGCAATCAGTACTATGAGTCACTGATGTTCTATCTTCCGTCCGCAAATCACTGATGAAAGATCTCTGATGAGTCAGGCCGTTGGTAATTACTAAAAGAGCTTGGTTAAGCTAGAAGAAACGGTAGAGAGCACGGTGCTGAGATCAGAGTATCAACAGAGGCCATAGCATAAGCTGGAGGTAGCGATGGAAGTGTGGATATTCAGCTGGTGGTAGCGGCAGAGGACAAGCATTAAGCTGCAGGTAACGGTGACGGTGACCCGGGAAGTGCTCACCATTGTTCCTCGGGGCTTTAGCAAGCTTCACCAGCGTAGAAGGAATTCTATGTCACTAAAAAAAATTTAAATTTGCTCATTTTGGAG